TGTAGACTGTTGTAGCCAAGTTCTAGGTACCCGTTTCTGCAGATATGACGATTCAAGGCACTTTTCCTGCATAAGAGTGAGCTGGTCACTCTGTGTTTGTATTTCTGGGTCTATCTTATTTCACCAAAAATGACAGTTAGTAAATTCTTCCACATTGTAGAGTGTTTCAGAGCCTTCTTCCTTTCATTTTGGTAGAAGTGGGAATTGAACCCAGGGCCTCGCAAATGCTAGGCAGGCATTCTACTACTGAGCTGATACCCCCAGCTCATTGCCTTTCTTTTTTTAAGGCTGAGTAATATTCCACCATATATATACATGTGTTTTGTTTATCCCCTCATGTCTGTGGAGACTTAGGTTATTTGGGCTGCTGCAAGTAAAGGCTGTGGGTATGGGTGGGTACACAGTGGAGCCTCTGCTGTGTTCAGCGTCCCCCCAGCACTGTCCCCTGCTTACTTGTGAGTGTTGTGGCTTCTACACTGGGACACACACCATCAGAGAAGGTTCTCTTCTCCACTGTTTGCTTCCTCTTTAATCGGCTGCTGTGGCCCTGGTGCCTAGAAAGGTGGCCTGGCCGGTGTCTGTGTGCAGAAAGGTTAATGGAAATCACCCTCAGAGACTCGGCAGGGAGGCAGGGTCTTAAGCTCTGAGGTGGCAGGGGTAGTGGACTTGTCATCCCCCCCCCCTCCTCCTGGACACTTGGATGGTGATTTCACCACCTGAGCCACCGGCATCCTTTGATTAAGTCTCATTTTGCCGTGAAAAGCAAAGGAGGTGACGGGGCTGCTGGGGGAAGGTCATTCATTCCAGAGAGGAAATTGGATGGAGGTGTTTCCATCCTCCATTCGCCCGCCCTGGCTCTCCTGCAAGCTCCTGTCGGCTGCTGCCTGTCTGCTGCCCCTCCTCTTCGGGCAACAAAGCAAGTGTGGGGAGACAGTTGCCGAGACTCTCTGTGTCTTACACAGGCAGCACCGGACGGGTCAATGCCAGCCGGATGATGACCAGTTGTGGCCAGCGGTCCTGGAACTTGCTCGCAGTATTCTCCCTGCTGTTTCCTGCAGGTAAAACCTCTGTGGGGGCTCAGTGGCTAGTGGGGAGTGGGGGGTCCCTTCCAGAGCAGGGCTGCAGCTGGGGTCCCGCATGCCGACAGGGCAAAGGTACCTTAGTCTCCTGATATTGCTCCCTAACAGGGCATGAGCTACTGGATTCTGGAAGCAATGGGGCTGCCAGGAGCCTGCGTTCAGATTTGTCCCTCTAGTTCTACAAGTCAAAAGTAGGCAATGCCAACCTATCTCTTTGATAGGTGAGAAACTGAGCCTGGAGAACAGAGCTAGTAGATGGGTTGGATTCAGACCCAGGGCACAGGAGCCACACCCTCCTGATACCATTCAGTCCCTGGACTGACACTGCAGGCAAGCTTGGGCTCACAGAAACCAGACCCCCCGTGCCTCCAAACTAGAGCAGAGTCAAGAACAGAGACAACCCAGCTAGCCAGCCAGGACCTAGTCCGTGTCTAGTCCTGCACAAAGGCTCTCGTGGCCCTGTCTGTCTTTGTCTCACCCTCTCTCCTTCTCCCATCTGTGCCATTCTGTTTCTTTGTATATTTCCCACTTCTCTGTGTATCTCTCTTATGTGTCTCTCTGTTTCTTGTGTATGTCTCTCTCATAGCTCTTTCTCAATCTTGTGTCTCTGTCTCTTTCTATCTGTTGTGTGTGGCTCTCTCTCTTCTTTCTGAATCTCCCCACACTGTGGCCAAGCTGTTGCTCAGGACTGGTGGCTTCCTTCCCTCACCCTTTCCCCGGGGTGTGTGCAGCTCAGAAAGAGATTGTGAAGGGGCTGGGGTGTGGACAGGACTCCTAGAAGAGCAGAGCAGAGGCCAAGCTGAGGCCAGAGTCTGGTGTCACCCTTGCCCCAGCTCTTCTCCATGTGATGGGGCCCTGATCCTTACCTCCCCAGATCTTCCCCATGTAATGGGGAGGCCCTTGTCCTCATCATCCTGGGTGTGAAGAACCAGCTGCTTCTTGTTATCCCTGAGGTCAGGGACTCAGAGAAGGCAAGTGGGTAGTGATCACACAACTGGAGATAGTTGACTCCAGAGCTTCGGTTCACCATGCTTCATACAAGTGCTGGGATGCTGAAACCCACGAGAGCTGAAGGCAGTGAGCCTGTACCTGAAAGTGTGCAAAGAGCTCCTTGGAACCCCCACCACAGGGGTGCTGATCCTTCTCTAACAAGGGGAGGAGGTGGGGGTGGGGGGGACTAAGAACTTGGGGTATCATTCTCCACCAGGGAACCATCCTGGTCCCTGTCTGGGACTCCTCTGTCCTTGGGGAAGTGGCAGGATCTTCTGGTCACTGGCAAATGGCTAAGGCTGGTGGCCAGAGCATCCAGGAATGGCTGTGGGGCTGTGGGCCGCCCGGGGCCCGGCAG